CTTACTACCAGAGAGGGAAGTGTTCTCAGTTTTTTAATCTAGAAATTGAGGTAGTTGGACAGGAGAAGAGGGTCCTAACATTTTTGAGGACAGACTTAAAAATTTGATGAGTTAGGGCCTGGGGACTCTCTTTCCAGGAAAATGTGTGTGCATACATACAAAATGCATGCATGTTCGTTCCCCTGAAGCTGTTCACAGACTCAAGGTTAAGAACTCATAAACAAGCTGCTCTCTGAGATCCCGGCCAGAATTAACATGGGCTTGCTGTGTTCTCTATCCTGGGGTGAGAGTTTCCACATCTCCCCTTAATAGATCTGAGGAACCAGGGCTTCCAAGAACTTCGGGACCTATCAGGACAGGGCAACAGACTCACCAGCTAAGACTCACCTGGTGTTGAAGTAGACTCCCTCTTATTCATTCATTCATTCAAAAAACATCCACTAACCTAGTTCTGATTATCTATTGCTGTAACAAACTACCCCAAAACGTAATGACTGAAAGTGAAAGAAACTGAAATGGCAACCTACTCCAGCATTCTTACCTGAATAATCCCATGGACAGAGGAAATTGAGGGGCTATAGTCCATGGGGTGGCGAAGAGTGGGACACGACTGAGTGATTAGCACTTTTACTTTCACTCATGGTTCTATTGGTGACTGGGCTTAGCTGTATGTTTCACTTAGGACTTTTTGTGTGGTTGCAGTCACACAGTGGCTGGGGCTGGAGTCATCTTGAAGACTTAGTGTCATGTCTAGCAGTTGATATTGCCAGCTAGAACCTCAGCTGGAGTTGTCAGCTGGAACCCCTGTATGTCACCCAGGTTTCCTCCTAGCAGGGTGACTAGGTTAGGGGGTAAGTATCTCAAGAGAGAGAAAGCTGGGCAGAAGTTCTCTTACCTCTCAAGACCTATTCTCGGAAGATATATGACACTCCTTGATGGTAGAAAAATTAAATTAAATTAAATTAAAGGATATGGAGGCATGTTTTAAAACCACTACGTAACCCCTCCATGTCAAGCACTGGACAAAGCACTTGGGATGGAGAGTGGCGAGTCGTACAAATCCTGCCCTTATGTTGCTTGCACTAGTGGCAGAGATAAACCCTAATAAATAGTATTACCAGTATGTACACAATTATAAACTTTGATGGTACTATGGAAGATGAGTACAGGGAGCATGAAAAATTGTATTACGTATTTGTATGACCTGAACCAGAAACCCAAGGGAGAATTTCCTTAAGAGGAGACATTAAACTCCTAGCAAGTCTTTTTAAGTCTCAAAATGTGTCTTGAATCTGTCCACTCCCCTCCATTTCCACTGTTGCCACAGCCACCAGCATGTCTCACCCAGATGGGTTCTTCAGCTTTTTAACCACCTCCAACTTCTACCCCTACCAGCCACCCAGCCCCCACCCACTTCCTTCTCATAGCAGCCAGAGTGAGTTAAAAAGTTAGATGAGGTTGCATGTTTGTATGGCTTTATTTATAGTTGACAGACAATAAACTGCACCCTTTAAGTGTACTATTTGATGAGTTTTGACATATGTATCCATGAAGCCATCACTACAACAAAGTTAATGAACATATCACTCTAAGAGTTTCTTCATGACCCTTTGCAATCCAAACCTCCCTTTCTCACTTCCCACCCCCTAAGTCACCACTAATCTTTCTGTCACTGTAGACTAGCTTGCACTTTTTAGAATTTGATATAAATGAAAGTATATAACATTCTATCTTTGGCATGGTTTACTGATTTCATTCTGTTACCGATAGTTTGTTTCTTTTTATTGCCAAGTAGTAGTATTATATAAGGGCTTCCCAGCTGGTGCTAGTGGTAAAGAACCCCCCCTGCCAACACAGGATATATGAGATGTGGGTTTGATCTCTGGGTTGGAAAGATCCCCTGGAGGAGGGCATGGAAACCCATTCCAGTATTCTTGCCTGGAGAATCCCATAGACAGAGGAGCCTGGCAGGCTATGTTTCATAGGGTCACACAGAATAGGACATGACTGAAGCAATTTAGCATGCATACATGCAATCTTTTATATGGATGTAATGCAGTTTGCTTTTTCATTTACTTTTTGCTAGACATTTCAATCATTTCCAGTTTTCAGCTATTAAAAATAAAGCTATGGGAAGTCTTTGTGTGGATATATATGCTCTCATTTCTCTTGGGTAAATAGCTGAGAATGGAATAGCTGGATCATGGACTTGGTATACGTTTAACTTATCAAAATATTTTTCCAAAATAATTTTACAATTTTATATCTCCTCTCCTGAAGTGCCTAAGCTTTTCTGTTGCTCCACATCCTCTCCAACACTAAGTATGAGCAATCTTTTTTATTTTAGCTTTTTTAATTGTTGTATAATATCTTACTACGGTTTTGATTTGCACTTCCTGATGACTAAAGATATTGCATTTTTATCATGTGTTTATTATCAGACTCACACACACACACACAAGTCAAAGCCAAGGCCTGCATGGTTCAACTTGTAAGGATACAATGAGCCACTTTCTGTTTAGACAGTTACTTATGTAGTGAGTAGAAGAATAAGCTAAAGATGCCAGCTCCCATGGTTCTTGCCTGACACAACAGAATGAATGAGACTGAGACAAAAAGGGCCAAATGACTGTGTCATGAAATAGGGGAAACCCCATCACTGAGGAGCCAATTCTAAACTCAGCTAAGAGGTTTTATATTCAGCCAACTCTTCTGATGAGGTGGGGCCTCCCAGGGAAGATTGCCTTGAGCTTCTCACAAGCCTCCCATCCTCTCCTGTTCTCCTGAGACATTACGCCAAGACTCAAGATAGGCTGTGATTCAAGCCTTTGCCTGTGGGGTTGCCAGAGCATGCCAGGGTGAATCCGTTTTCCTCTATTTAATTTACTATTCATGTTATTTTTGAAAAAAAATTTTTTTTTTGGTGCAAATGGTGGCCTTTAATACTGAGAAAGACCATGCAGAGTGACAGCATAGGACCAAACCTTCAGAGGGTGGTACTGAGCCAGCCTCTCTCAGGACCCTAAAGCCTGATCCCATAACAGAATAAATCAACTATTTATTTACATTTATATTTGCCCTGGAAACCCAGAGAAGGCCTGAGGCCTAGGACCATCTATCTTCCTTTCCTCCTCCCTCTCTTCCTACTTCTCACCTTCTTCCACTTTCCCAATTCTTTTCCTTTTTCTTGCCTCTCCTTCCCACTCTGTCCTGCTTCCTTTCTTTTCCTCTTTCCTTCTCTCTCCTTTTTTTTCTTCTCCATATTCTCCCCATTCTTCTACCATCTACCCATCTCTACCCCTCCAAGCCCCATTTGCTATTTCTCCCCTGCCCAGCCCCTCAGCCCTGCCTTCCTCAGATTCAGTCTCCAGGCTTAGGGTGGAGAGGCAGAAAGGAGTTGTCAGCCCAAGGAGCACTTGTTGGTATTCTTCTTGTCACAAGTTTTCAGGTCAGTGCTGGGGGGCTTGTTGTTTTTCAATCTCCGGCCTCCTGACTTGAGTAAGATGTCCCGTGCCAGGGAACAGAAAGCCTCATCTACATTCATAATGGATTTAGCACTTGTCTCAAAAAATCGGATTCCATGCTTCCGAGCCAACTTATCAGCCTGCTCCTTCTGCACCTTCCTCTTGGCCTCCATGTCACACTTGTTCCCCAGTAAGAGGCGCTCTACCCCAGCCGAGGCATTCTCTTTGATGCTCTTCATCCAGTTCTGAATATTCTTGAAGGATTTCTCATCTGTGATATCATATACTAGGATAATGCCCATGGCTCCACGGTAATAGGCAGTAGCTATTGTCTTGAATCGCTCTTGGCCAGCTGTGTCCCAGACTTGCAGTTTGATCTTTTTCCCCTCTATATCCACAGTGCGAATCTTGAAATCAATTCCGATGGTGGAGATGTAAGTGTTGTTGAAGTTGTCCTCTGCAAAGCGAATGATCAGACAAGTCTCGCCCACCCCTGAGTCCCCGATCAGCAGCAACTTGAAGAGGTAGTCTTAGGCTTTGGCCATGGCGGACACTGGGGGTGCCGGGAGAGGGGTGGGGAAGCGGAGGGCACCGGTAGGCAGGACTGGAGGGTTGGCAAAGGGAGCGGGCCGGAGTCCTGGCCAGGAAGTTTTCATTTTTGAAATTTTTAAACTTTAAAATTTTAATTTTTATTGAAGTATGTTTGATTTACTCATGTTTTCTTCGATGAAGTGTCTGTTTAAAGTTTTTGCCCACTTTAAAATTGGGTTGTCTATCTTATCGAGTTATAAAAGTCCTTTATATAATCTATATATATAAATCCTCTCTTGGATTTTATACTTTGCACATGATTTTTCCCAGTCAGTGGCTTATCTTTACATTCTTAATTGTATCTTTGGTAAAATTAAAGTTTAAAATTTTGATGAAGTCTAGTGTATAAAAATTTTCTTAGTGACAACATATCTAAGAAATCTTTGTCTAGCCAAAGTCACAAAGAATATCAACTCCATTTTCTTGTAGAATCAATAAGTTTCATAGTTACAGGTCTTATATATAGGTTTATGATACATATTGAGTTAATTTTTGTGTATAATGTGAGAAATAAGAATGAAGGAGTTCCCCCCTCCCCACAGATACCCAGCCAGTTGTGCCAGTACTGTTTGACAGTTTCCAGTTGGGCTCCAGAAAGGCTCCTTTCTGGTGAGCTATGGAGACTGAGTTGGGTTCAGAAGCAAAGGAAAGCATTCTTTGATTAAAGAATGAAGAGGTGAGAGCTCAAGCTCTGCAGTCCAGACTCTCCTGGAAAGACAGAACACCTGGCTGGTTGCTTTTTAGGGATCTTGACAGTGGGGGAGGGGGCAGGTGCCAAGTTCTCAGCTGCTTCGCACTCTCCAGATCCCAGTGCCAGGCACAGTGTCTCTGCACGCGGCCCACCGCCGGCGCCATCTTGAACTGAGGTGTCACGTGCAGCACTTCTGCCCACGCTCCTGGAGCTGAGGTATCAGTTCGGCCATTTTGCAAGGAACTCTGTCGGGTCTGAAGTGCTGGGCACCGCAGTTGTGTGCTGGGACAGCTCATCTGATGTGTTAAGGTACAAGGCTTCTGCATACAGCACTTATAGGCAAGTAAAACTAAATTAAGCAGAAAAGAAGAGGTTAGATCTCATTGCCTAGATTCCATTTTATTCCCCTGTCCCTCCCCAAACCCCACCCCAGTGGGCTTTGCCGGTGACAGCGCCACTCCTTGAAAAGATTATCCTTTTCCTGTTGAATTACCCTGAGAACGTTGTTGGAAACCCATAGCCATATATATGTGAAACTACTTCTGTGCTCTCTTATGTTCCATTGAGAGCTGTATGTTTATCTTTATGCTGATGCTACACCGTCTTTTAAAAAATATTTATTCACTGGACAACTTGGGGGCTTGGTTGCAGCTCGCAGGATTTCTTATTTGCAGCTCGCAGGATTTCTTATTTGCAGCAGATGAACTCTTAGTTGTGGCATCTGGGATCTAGTTCGCTGACCAGGGACTGAACCTCAGCCCCCTGCACTGGGATCTCAGAGTCTTAGCCACTGAACCACCAAAGAAGTCCCGGTACCACAATGTCTTGATCACTGTAGCTTTATACTAAATCTTGAAATCAGGCAGGGTTAAGTTCTCTAATTTTATTGTTCATTTAAAAATGGTCATCTTAGATTCTCTGCTGCTAATATTATGCTTACTTCAAAAAAATTTTTTGGTCACTTTTTTCCTTTTTCTAAGTTCTGGATATATTGTTCTCTACAGTTTGTTAAAATTACTCTGTGAAGTCATCTGGGCCCAGGTCATTTTTGGAGGGTAGGGATTGCTCTCTGACAGTTTCCTGGAAAATCATCTGTTTCACCTACATTTGCAAATATATTTGCCTGAGTAAAGTAATCACTTTTGACTTTATTATCTTGTTTTAGGGAGGGCTTAATTTTTTTTATGTTTCTTATTTTGGGTGTCTATACCTTTCTTTTCATTGTTTAGGTTATATAATTTATTTTTCAAAGAGTTAACCTACTTTTTAAATTTAGTCATCCAAAGAACCAGCTCTTGTATTAGTTCTATCTTATACTAACACATATATATGGACTTTAGAAAGATGGTAACGATAACCCTATATGCAAAACAGAAAAAGAGACTCAGATGTATAGAACAGACTTGCTTTATTTATTATGATGCTTTCCACTTTAATCTTTATTAATAAGCTCTTCCTGTTTTCCAGATTTTTGAACTGGATGTATAATTTATAATTTTTTTTACTTAATGGATTAATTTACATATATGAATTTTATTTAGGGAAATATTTCTGCTGAATTCCATAGGTGGTGATAGTTGTTTTCATCATTATTATGTTCTGGATGGTCTACAACTTTAGAATTCATTTCTTATTGTGCACAAGAGCAAAAGGAGTTCAAATTTTTCCAGGTGATAGAATTTGAATCTCTTAATTTTTAGTTTCATTTATTCAGAGAATATTGTCTACACAATTTTCAATACAATATTTCTGCTTTGGGGAGTGTATTGAGTTTTTCTTTGTGGTATGATAAATGGTCAGTTTTGTGAATATTTCAAGGAGTTTTGAAAAGGTCTCTCTTTTATTTCATTGAACAGAATATAATATACATCAGTGAAAATCTACCCATCTTTAAGTTTAAAAGCTGAGAAGATTTTTTTGTGTTTTGTGGTTATGTACTAGACTTTTGCCTCATGGATATTTAGAAACCATGAAGGTTTTATCTATTTTTCCTTTTATGTATTTTCCTTACCTGTTTCCCCTTTCATTTCTCTTCTATTTATCCAATGTGTAATAAGTAAATTCATTTTATTTTTAAAGTTGGACATTTCACTGAAAATAGTGAATGTTCTATGTTAAATCAAAAGTCATATGTTGAGTGGAATAATTTAGAATTCTTCCTTTATAAAGAGAAAGCTTATAATGAGTATCTGTTCTAAATTTACATGATTTCCTATTCCTTTTTAAGAGTAATGGACTTGCACATGTACAAAAAAGTGGCCTATTTAGGGAGATATGATTGTAATGATGATAGTAGGGTAACAACCTAACAATCCATCAATATATTTATAGAATGACATGCAGCTCTCAAGAAATATGGAAAAAGACCTACAAATACGGAGATACAATTCTCTCAAAAAATAGTGAAAAATGGAGTGTATGTACATACAGGCATATATTGTAAAGACAAGAGACAAGACAAGAAAGATTGTCAAGAGGTTGTTGGTGGTTGTTACTCAGAAGGACAGGTAGGAGGTGCATGGGACACTTTGCTTTTTACTCTAAATTTATCCTAATTCCTTGATATTTCATGAGACCATACAAATATTAAATTTTGTTATCTTTAAAAAAAATATGTAGGCTCTCAGAAGTAGAGGATAAAGATGTTCTGTACCTCTAGTCTATGTGTAGCACGTATGACAATACTGTCGAGGAGATGTTTTCCTTTTTCCACTTGTCAAGAGGCCTTTCAATTTCTTTTCTCACACTCCCTTTCAGAAAGGTTGTGGCAAACACACCACTCCTTTTCAATTGTCCTTGGCATCCAAAAGTTATCCACCTTGATATCCTACCTTAGTGCGGGTAATGGGCAATGTTAAGATGCATCCCTACATTTTCTCCAAATAGAACTTATTTGCCAATGTCCTTTTCCCCTAAAGTTTATTTCTTGCTAAGTGAAAATGGTTAGTAATGTATACTTAACGCTAACTTGAAGCTCATTACAAATGGTAATAATCCATGAATATTTTTTGCAAAGGTAAATCATGAAACAAGCTAGGTAACATATTATTACTCTTGGAAGGTACACCTGACTCTGATGCCCATGACTGCACATTTCTCAGAAGATTCTGCTTCCCTTTCCCGCCACCTGGGAGTTGGGCGCCAGCATTCCAGGCAGAAGATGAAGTACGAGAGCAGGAGCCCTGCTTTCTCCCACCCAGGCCCTGCTGCTGCTGCGTCCCTCAGACTTACCGAGCGCTGAAGAGCTTGCAGGAAGGTGTCGGCGCTCCCCAGCCAGCGATCTACGGTGCCAAGTCTGAAGACGCATGCGCCAGAATGTCTTCTGGCTCAGGCACTGATTCCCTGGAGATATGTGACATCAGTCCGGGCAGCACAAACCTGCTCTGCTGAGAAGTAGCCCTGACAGTTCCATCCTGACCCTTGGAACGGGGCGCAGTCCAATGTCTGGTTTATCAGTTTCTCCGAGCTGTCCGCCTATTTCCTTTGGCTGGAAACTATCCAGGCAGCAGACTGTCAGATCATTATCAGGGATGAAGTCCTAGAATCTAGAAACCTTGGGCACAAAGCCCCCTTTTTCCCTAATTCTTTTTAAATTCACAGTAGGAACCTGGATCTGCTTTCATCCTGCTTCCTAAGAGAATTATATTATTCTAGAGTTGTTGAGGGACATTCAACCCCTCATTTTACAGATGCAGTCACTGAAGTTCAGGGAGGGGAAGGGTCTTGCTCAGGATCAGGCAGCTGACAATAAAACATCACAGATTGAGTCTCTGCCTTGCCCTTCAGCTTGCAGGCAATCAGATACTCTTATGCCAGTGAGCACATCACAGAATTTCCCTCACAGTTTCAATTTCAAATAGTCTGTATCTCACAATCAGACAACACTGTTACATTTGCTAGAACCTTAGGCTCACTACATGTACTTCTGTGGTTAAATCAAAGGTTTAACTCTCAAATTCCAAATCTGAAACCCTTTAGATATTGGAATCTCTTTGGGAGCCTGATGAAATTTATGAAACCTTTTCACCAGAAAAATCCTACTCACATATACAAATATACTTTTGCATGCAATGTCAAGAGGACTACAGACCATTTAAAGTGCACCGACGTCTACAAAGTATAGGTTTGGAACACTGATTTACAAGTAGAAATTTCAATATTGGTCGAGAGGATGGAAGCACCATAATAGACAAAGGTGTGCAAATATGAGGTGGCAGCACTCAAATCATAAGTACTACAATGACAAGGAATATTATATGTTCA